TACACACGTTTTAAATTATCTGACGTCAATACGTAATATAAGTGTATCCAGTTTCTTTAATATTTTTATATTAGTATTTTGTCTTATTATTTTTTATGTTATTGTACATTGCAGATGTAATGTAATTCATTTGAGTATTTAGTTAAATACGACAAACAAGTTCTATATTTATTATATTGACGAAATAGTAAGCAGGCAGTACATATTTAAATTTATACAATTGAATTTTTTCAAAAACTACATTTATTTCATTTCGAAATATATGATATTTTTGCATATCAACAACCTGTGCTGACTCGCATTGACAATTGATGTTTTCTTTTTTAAAAATAATTTTTTGAAGATATATTCTTTGTACGAATACTTTTGCATTCGCTATGCTTTTTGGATGTGGCTTATATTTGTGCCTTGTATTATGTATAGTTATTAAAATGAGTTGTGGGTGGAACCATTATTGCTTATTAATATAAATGTATTTATTTTGTGTACACACAAATAAATTAATTAAAAGATTTTATATACATGTATTTTACATCTTTCAGATTTAACATCAATGGGTAGTACAGATGTTCTAAGTCCATTCAGTAGTTCTGGATCTCAAGGAAACCTCAGCATGACATCGCCTATGTCAACGTCTTCATCACCTATGCATATCACAGATGATTATATTAATCTAACAAATGCAGGTATGCATTCTGATTTTAAATTGTCTGAAACGTAACTTACTAATATCTGCTGAATTATGAATATTTAATATTATTATATAATTTAATATTAAACTCTTTTCTAACGTTAGTGACAATTATTGGAAAATGCATATCAATTTTTTTTATAACTTGCTAGTAACGATACTTGGTGAACCATATCTCAGTATCATGGTGCAGCCAATGGAGAAATTTAGATTTCGATACAAATCCGAAATGGTGGGAACTCATGGAAGCTTGCTCGGTATATATACCGGACGTAAACGAAATAAAAATAACGTTCCTACAGTCAAGGTAATTATGCTGAATTCTAACAGATTTATCAAAATATTAATATAGAATTGTTTAAACTAGTTTCTTCATATCTAATGATGTTATTATTACTCATATTTTCAGTTACATAATTATTCGGATAATGCGATCATACGTTGCACATTAGTTACAATTGACGAAGACCTGAGAATACCGCATGCTCATAGATTAGTGAGACGAGTAGATAGTATGGATATAGGGGATCCACATTATATGGAAGTTTCGTCTCAAAATGATTTTACAGCCGAGTATGTTTATACCATCTGTATAATGTTAAACGTAGTTATCCTGTTTCATTCTTTAGTCAGCATTATGCTCGTGTTACAGATTTGTTGGTATGGGCATAATACATACGGCGAGAAGAAATGTTAAGGACGAAATAGTACGAAAATTGCGCGAAGAAGCTCTAGAGGAACTGAAACGTTCAAATATAAACGCTACTCTCAATCTTCGTGATGATGCGCAGGTAAATTTTAATGCCACTTATCAATTTGAAAATCATTTTACATAATTGGATTAATATTTTTATCTTAACAAATAAATTAAATATTTTTAAATAGCAATTTACAATGATTACAGATTAAGTCTGATGCCGAGCAATATCAAAAAACTATAAATCTAAATAGTGTTTGCCTTTGTTTTCAAGGATTTATCAAAGATCAACATAATATTATGAGACCGATTACAGCACCGATTTATAGTAACCCAGTCAATAATTTGAGTAAGTTTTAATAATTTATTGCAATACAATTTGTTTTAAAGAAAGATTTATCAAGAAATTCTCTCTCAATTAATTTTTGTATTTTATATATACACAGGTTCCCGAAATTCGTGAATTTTGGGACATTCTATATTATATATGCTACATATCGCTCATTTGTACTACAATGATACAACTCAAAAATTAAATTATTTTTTTAGTTGCTTATAAAAAAAGTCAGAAATGAGAAAGAACATTCTTATTCTTCTGTAATTAATTATTACATTAAAAATTGTATTTTTAAATTAATATAATAAAATTTTAATGATTTAAACCTTTTTTTATGTTGTTATTGTGTATAAATGAACATTATATGAATAATAAAAATGATGTATAAAGAAATCATTAATTTTAATAGAAAGTGCACTAACTGGAGAACTTAAGATATGCAGAATTGACAAATACACTAGCAGTTGTGAAGGTGGCGAAGAGGTATTTATACTTGTGGAAAAAGTTTCAAAAAGTAAGTGTTGATTTTTAGCATTTCAGCTAAATATACTTGCCTGTAAACACCAATATACATATTGATGTAAAAAAAACGCATTATATTATAGAAAATATAAAGATAAAGTTCTTTGAACTCGACGATGATGATACTGAAATTTGGATGGATTATGGTCGTTTTTCGGAATTAGATGTCCATCATCAATATGCCATGGTATTTCGGTATGTACATGTGATTATGCATTTTTTTTTCAACGCATACGATTTGTGCTGTATTTTTAGAACTCCACCATACAGAGATCGAAATATTACTTCTCCAAAGGAAGTTTTCATACAACTAGAACGTCCTTCAGATTCATATTGTTCAGAACCAATCAAATTTACGTATAAACCAACTGACCGTATGATAGGTAAGTTAATAACAATGTTAAATATTCTTAGTTATGATCTTAATTATGATGTTATATTTCTTTTTTTATTTGTCTTTCTCCTTTTTTTTTAAATATAACTTTTTGCAATTTTATAATTACAGGTAGGAAGAGAACGCGAGTCTCTCATTCAAATAGTGCGGAATTGGCGCAAGCATTAACATTTAATAATGATACACTTTTAATGAATTCACCATTAACAAGTACGCCTTCAAGCAATGACAGTACCGAAATATCTAAAGAAATAAAAAAGATGTTAGATGATAGATGTTCTTCTAGTCAGTTTCGTGATTTTGTCGAACATATAGATTTAGAAAGTAAGTATTTGTTTTTATGTGAATAAAAACATTCAAAAGTTACATATGAAAAATGTATTGTGTTTAATACAAATTATATCTTTTAGTGTACGAAATATTGTTAAATCAAGGCGGCGAAGATAAGTTAACTTATGATGGTGCGCCGAATAAAAAGGCTAGTATTAACTTCAATATATGCTGTTTACAAAACACATTATCGAAATTTCTTGTTGCATCAATGTTATAGCTATGTTATCAAGTCTGAATTTTATATTTCTACAGGACGATAAATTGTTCGCAAAAGATGTTATTATTGATACGATAAAGAACATGAAAATAAAGCCGCATGAAGTAAAAGATATTATTAAAATATCGTTCAAAGACAGGACAACTTACGGAGATACGCCTCTGCACTGTGCGCTCCGATATGGACAAAGGAACAATGTAAAACGTATATTAATGCTTATGAGCACTCTAAATACAGATGCTGAAGAATTGGTGAACATTCGAAATAGTTCTGGAAAGGTAAGCTTTTTCAAAAATGCTAGTATATTTTATTTAATTACAAAAAATTTTAATGTATCGTAATTATATTCTAGACTCCGCTGCATTATGCTGCTTCGCAAGATCAACCAGAAATTATACGAGCATTGCTCATGCTTGGAGCAGATCCTAATATAACAGATCATTATGGACAAATGCCATTACATAGAGCTGTAAAATGTATCTATTAATTTAAAAGTACTTAAAATGAACACTTTAAAAAAAATTGATGAATTGATCCTTAGCACAATATTTTGATTCAGAAGTAGAGATAAAATGTAATTCGCAGTTGCGAATATTAATATATCCAAGCAAATATTGAATAATGATAATAATAATTTTATCCTACGTGAATTTATATAGAATTATAATTTTAGTTCCTGAAGCAGAAGGAAGCATTGATGTTTTATTAGCTGAAAAAGATGTCAACATCGAAGCAAATACAGATTGTGGATGGTCACCTTTGCAATTAGCTGCCCAAGCTGGTTCGTATCATGCAGTACGTTCTCTCATTAAAGCTGGCGCAGACGTAAATAATACTGACATGACCTATGGAAGAACTGCCTTACATATAGCAGTTGAAGGAGGTCACAAGGACATTGTTGAATTTCTGTTAAAAAATGTAGGATTGAATATTTGTTGAAAATATTTTTATATAAAAAAATCATGTTATTAATTTCTCAATTTTTCTCAATATTTCTTAATTTTCCGAGCAGACTAAAATAGATGTAAACAAGAAGAACTTTAGCGGAAATACAGCATTGCACACCGCAATAGTTACACCAGGGACAAAAGCCAAAGAGATATGTGCTCTTCTAGTGATATACGGTGCTGATCCGCACATAAGGAATTATAATCGTGAATCAAATAACGTATGTACAGTTCATCAATATCTTATATTTTGTTTTTATTAAATTTGATTATCTTAATAATAGGTTGACGGAGAACAAATACAAAATATAAAAATCGAAATGCATTCAGAAGATGAAAATATGGAAGAATTCAATGGGCAATCATCTTTTGACTTAGCATCAAATAAACCAGACGTATGAAAAACATTTCATATTGCCTTATCAGTATCGTTATAAAAATATACACATTCGTCATAAAAAAAATTGTTTTCAGATTTTACAACTCGTCTCCGGTCAAAATGATATGTTAATAAACAACACGATAAAAGAAGAAAATATAAACGATACACAAAAAGTTTGGATGGATATAGATCAAGAAAAACAATTGGCAAGCATTTTAGACGAGACAAAAGGATGGAAAAAATTGGCGCATTATTTTGACTACAAGTACTTAATGAATATCTTTAAACAGACATCCAGTTCATCGTTACTCCTCTTAAATTATATCGCTGTAAGATTTTCATTTTCTCGTCAAATATTTTATGCGTTATTTTGCAATCTTTCGAATATACATTCTCATTAAGATGAACGATTGAATACTTATGTAATTTTTATTTCTTTATAGATACAAACTAATACATCTCTCAGTGATTTGAGAAATATATTGCAAAATGTAGGTGAAGAAGAAGCTGCAGCATACATGAGTCAAATTTTATCTATGAAACATGAAACGTGAAATTGTATTAATTTTATCTGTACAATTTATTGCTGTTGTAAAATACATTGTGTTATTACTATAAAAATTCAATGAAACTGTTTTAGATAGATCTTTTGATAAAAGGTATTTAAATAATTTTTAAATTTCGTAATAATTATATTTACAAATTTATTATATATTTATATATAATACAATTAAATAAAAGCCATTATTTTTTATTACCTAAAAAACGTTAGCCTCTCTCATAGGTTCTGATGTTAAGAACCTATCGAAACTTAATTTGGACAAATCTATAGTTAAAAAACGATTTTGAAAAATTAACTCTGATATCGCACGCCCCACCGCGGGTGCCTTCTGGATACCATGTCCGGATGAAATTAAATACACATGAAATGCCATTCGATCAAGGTGGTTCTCCACCTAATATTTTTATTGAATTTGAACAACTTCTAGAGCTTAAGCAAATTGTACACCAATTGTTTATCTTCTTGAAATACAGTCCTAAATCAACGCTCAATAAATTCATAAAAAATATTACTAATCTTTTTTGGCATGAAAGATCACTTTGATTTAATATGGCATTCATGTGTTTAACACATTAATACACTTAGTACTTCTGTATTTGTTACACTACCGTAAATATCCTTAATTTAATTTGTTTAATTATATGTTATTATGCATGTTGTTAAATAATGAAAAATAAACATACTTTTAAATTTTCAAATGCCGGTACTCTATGAGCGAGTGAAGGCCACACTTTATTGTCAAAAAATTCATGATCGACATCCAAGTTCTCAATTGATGGTTCCTCGTTTGGTTCTGGTGATTTTCCGGCGATAAAATTACCTCCTAAACCATCGCGTCTGGAAATAATTTTATTTACATTTTATAAATCATTTTATTTGTTTACTTTTATTAATTGTTTAATTTCTAATAGAAGAGTATATGTTGTACTTAAACAAAATTTGAATTCGTACCTAAAATATGTTCCACTGGGATCAATCGTTAAAGGTGTATTTAAGCCAGGTCCATCAGGACAATGGAAACAATATACATATCTCTTTCTGCAAACGAAAATCTAATTTAATAATAATAAAGATAAAGAAACAAAAAGTAGTAAGATTCGAGTCTTTTTCATCGTTAAATTACCTGGGTACAACTGGTAAAGGTACAGATAATAGGTTTTCGCCTGTTCCGATATCAGCCAACTCGGCTACATCGCCACTAAAAGCGCCCGCAGCAATAATAGCTATAGCAAATTTTATTGTCCTAGTCTCACCGTCGTTTGTTTTTATCTGACACAAAACATGTTTATCTATTAGATATTATTCTACATTCGTAACTGACAAGATTTTAAATATAAATTGCATGGAATTGATTAATCCATAAATATATTTATTGAGTAGATCAAATGATTCCACGCAGTTTCTAAAATCTTTTATAACTGAACAACAACGAATATTTTATATTTATATATAAATAAATAAAATAGAAGGAATGCATATATATATATATATATATATATATATATATATATAATATATTTTTAAAACATTTCATATTCTCATCATAATTTCCTAGAAGCTCCTTATATTGAAAAGCTTTGACTTCAGCATTAACATATTGAGCACCCAAATAACTAGCTTTTTTCTTGAGGGCACATAAGAGAGACCATGGATCGAACCATCCCTCTTTTTCCAATCCAAGACAACCTGTCGCAATTCCATCGGTATTTATCCAAGGGAACATATATTTCAGCTTCTCTTTAGTTAGAACGACATTTTTTGCCCCTAAAGAATTCTGCAGCTTAGAATTCTGTACTAAAGTTTCAGCGCCTGCCTCAGTTGCCAATACCAAGTAGCCATAAGGATGAAAATTAACATCGATGGGCGGTTCTCCGGGGATACTCAAATGCTCATTAATATTTCGCAAAAATTCCGCGCCATATAATGACATGTGAATATTTTCTTCAAGAGAAAATTGTTGACGTAGACCACCCACCGAAAGAGTCGTGGAAGCCTTGGTATACTGAAATAATACTTAAGTAATTATGCATTTAATTAATTACTAAACTTAATAAATTATTAAAAAAAAGATCTTCAGAATATATTAGAAAATACATCAAAATCTTACCGTAGGATCTTTCTCAACTACGACAACATTGAATTCTTCTCTATAGATTTTCTGCTTTAACCAATATGCTATCGAGCTACCAATTGCTCCACCACCAATGATAAGCACATCACAAGTAGAAGGAATTACTTGAGGTCTCTCCCAAAGCTCTTTGAAGTCAGAGTATTGTCTGTTAGATAGTACATGTTTCAACATCTTCCAATCTCGCTTCATATTTTTCAGGAATCTTTCCTGTGGGCTAGTAATGTCGACAAATTCTTTGTACTTTTTCGTGTCATTATTGCCTTTACTATCTGAACTCTGCAAATTTAATATGACGTTATGTCCAGTTCAATTTGTTCACATCAGTCTTCGACAAAAATATTCATTCCTGTCTACACAAAAGACAAATAAAAAAAAAAGGTAAATTTTTAACGTAAGATTTCTACCTTTCTTCATGAAATATTTTACACATGTATTTACATGTTTTAAAATTCTCACTTCCGATTTTTACAAAGCACAAAACAAAAATTCACTGCTTTACTATTTATAAAATTCTTACAATCATTAATTTAATTACTTTACAGCATAAAAATAAAAGTATGGCTGGTTTTCACAGCCAGTTTTTATTTCAAGACCATCTTAAGTAATATCTTAAAACGCTAATAATGGCTAAAACGCTAATTAATAATAAAATCTTGTGATTGATTTATAACATCTTAAGTCCGTACTTAAGACGGTCTTAAATATAAGAACCGATTATTTAAATTATTCTTCCAATTACATTTAAATTTCGCGCGTCGTTCTATCATCGATTGCGCTCCATCGGTAAGATAAATTTCCTAACCTCAAAAACCTTTTGTTTTCAACGTTTCGTTCGCTATGTCGAGCAACGATTTTCGTCATTCCAACCATAATTTTCTGCTTCTCGCACTAAAAGCGTCTTCATCAAAATCTGTGACGAACATAAACTAAATTTCCAGTTATATTCAGTCAAACATAAATTCGCGATTACGCACAAATTATACTTGACATCGCGATGAGAGACGTCGCGTCGCTTCGAGAGGAGGCGAAAGTTTGACGAAATTATTAAGAGTCATCTATTACATTCAATATCAACAAATTTTATCCGTTCGAAATGTCATTCGTCAGATCCCTAACCTCCAATCGTTCCCAGTCAATACACGCGTAACTCACCTCTCTCCTGAAGGAGTTCACAAACTGAACTGCACACGTGTCAAGTGTCGCAACATCCTCGTTAGTATCTTGACTGATCCAACAAAGAGACTGTTCCTCAGTTCACCTTTCCTCTAGGAAACATTTACAACTGTTTATCAGCCAATACCAAGTCAGTATTAAACGAAAACAAACATCAGCCGTTTATTAGCCGTTTGTCAACACGAACGAAGTTGATGACTCACGTTCGATATTTTTTTCTACTGAAGAAACTGCAGATTATATATAGATGTGAAACAAAAAATTGCAGTTTTTCTCGCCGATTAAAATGACGTGCAGTGATCGATATGCGCACATGTATTTTAGGCACGTGTTTCAATTGACAGAAGGTAAACTATTTTTTTTTCTGTCATTTATTTTCGAGAAATTAGTATGCCATATTAATAGAAAACTTGTGTCTTAAAGAGATAGACTTTCATATTGCTTCGATTTATAATTATTCAATTTACATATTTATGTAGTAAAGTCTGGTAATAGTAGTATGTATCTACTTCGTAATATTTTTTGTAGGCAGTTAAAGCAGATTCCATCTTTCCTCTTTCACTTTTAATTTACTATTATGAAAAACGTTAAATTGTTTAGAGACGCAACTGATTTATATTTTCCATGCAGACTTCTGTATATTAAACTATTCGATAATGAACTATTTTTATAATTTTAATTGCTGATAATGGACGCAATAATACTTAGCGAAGTATTGTATTCTTTTGTATGCCGTCATGCTTCATCTGTTCTTAATCTATAATAAATAAAAATATATTATTTTTTTCATTATCTAACTACGTTTATTCTACGTGATAAAGAGTCTATATTTATCGAAGATATCTTCGTCGATATGTCATAATAATTATTCAGCAGCGTTATCTTTCTTGAGAACGTATTTATATAACCGAATTTTAACAATTTTCCTTGTCTGATTGCAATCTTCAAATAATTAAATGTTAAAATAAAAGATGAATAATCTTGACAATCTGAAGAAGAAAATAGAAAAAAAATACTGGAAGGATAATTAACGAGTATTTTTGTCAAACCCAAAAGACTATCCAATTTTTATAGCAATTTTTTAATATTATTTCTCCGCCTTTTGTCAACAGAATAATTAACTATATGCTTTTTAAAGTAAATGTAGATAATATAGCTGTTTTTCAATGATTGGAATAGAATATAAATATTCTCATTATAAAATATTTATAATACAAGAAATAATTCTTAATATTGGGTCATCTAAAAAATATCCGCGGTTTTTTGTCACTAGATGGTGTTGATGGTCAACACCATCTAGTGACAAAAAACCGCGGATACTTTTTAGATGACCCAATATTATTTAGAAACAGATATTTGCAAATATTCAGCGATTTATGCATTGCTGTACGTACTTTTATTATATTCTTCATGTAATAAACCATTCGCATTTTTCATATAAATTTCTGTTAAAGGAAATAAATTAATAAATTTAAAATAATTCAAAATATAATTCTTTTATTGATATTAATTATGTAAAAAAGTTGTATGTAACTGACATGTGATATTTTACATATATATATTTTTTTTAATTTTATATTAGAAACATTACGCGAGGACATAGCAAATGTCAAATGTAAATTGTTAAAATAAAATATAATTGCATTAATTTTATAGCAAATCCGATAACATTATTCAGCATATACACAATATAAATGGATCAATTTTTACCATTTTGATTATCTAACATATTACAAGGTATTAATATTAGCTTAGGTATCATGCCGGGTGGTGCTATGAATTGTTGCGTGCTCTGTGTTGTATTGAGACCAGAATACTGCACCTCTGCCTCCGTAACGAGTTTGCAGATATGCATCTTAATATCTGCTTGCGCTTTAGGTGGTAGTTTTTTCACTGCCTGTGCCATGCTGTCGAAAAATAATTCTATACTCTTACTCTCGGATGCTAAATGAACTTGTTTGTTAGTGTCATTGTTTTTTATACTGTTTGATTCTTTCACAAGCGTAATTGATGTGCTAGGTGGTAAATTTTTCTCAAGAACAGCCACTGTATTAGCAACTGGATTAGCCACTGTATTATTATTTACATTCACATTATTTTTATTTATCTTCAAGGAAGATTTTTTTATTTTATTAGTGCTAGATGTTTTCAGGGAGGAAGGATGTTCGGTCTTCAATCGTTTCGGACGTATCTTTCGGTACTTTGACTGTATTCGCTGAATGTAGTTGTCCATATCCATATCTTGTTCATTCGCCACTTCCTCTTGAGCAGCTATCTCTACATTAATATTGTCCAACGTTTCTATCGTCTCAGTTTCCATTACAACTGGGTCAGCTGATGTCTCTTCAAGAACTTCCAGGTATTCGGTATAGTCTTCATTATTTCGGTCTTCTAATTGCTCCAGTAAACCTTCGGCACTTACATCACTCGAATTTATCTGTTGTATGTATTCCTTGGTTAATTCTACACACTGTGGCTGATAGTCCACTTCACACCTGTAAAAGTATTCTCGATTGAGAAAATAAGGCTTAAGTAAACCGCCAAAATCACCAAATAATCATGGATATTTCTTACGGATATTTTACGAAGCTCAAAGAATCCTCGAAGATCCATTTTTTTCTTCTTACGCCTTCTTCTGTCTTACTCTTGCACTTCAAGATACGACAGTAAGTATCTCTAAGGTTCTTCCATCTCAGTCTAACCCAAGTAGCTACAACAGACAGCAACCAATGGTTATATTTAGCAAATTATTTATTTTACAATCGATGTTACAAAGTTTTCTTCAACTTGATTGGATTATACTTTTAGATCTAGAGAAATATATACATCTATTGCAGCGAAGAAAACTTTCAACAATTGTGGAGTAAACAAGGCTATATTCCACAGAGAAAATTATTTAGCGAGCGCTTAGTGATTCTTTACTATGATTGATTTCTATATTTAGATCCAGCAAAAAACTAAAAAAGAAATCAATTAATCATATTAAAGAATCACTGAGCACTCATTGATCAGTTAATTTCTGAATGAAACCATTCTGCTGAATAATCAGCAGAAAAAATAGTTTTGTGATTGTTACAAGATTTTTTAATATGATTTAGATTTAATGAAGAATTAAAGATAAGACCAAATACATTAAAAAATTTTACAACAGTTGCAAAGCTGCTTTTTCTGCCACACATAATCATTGCCTGCGTTGAACAAAATATTTATTTTAAGCCTAATTTATATAAGACTCAGAATACAGGTTGCAAGTGAAACGTATTTCAAATTGTAATAGGTTACAGACCGCAATACATGGGACACAGAATATATGACGCAAAAGCTGAAGTTCATCAAATTTTCTGCATTTTCTGCATCCTACAATCTATTATGATTAAAATACGTTAAGTTAGTTTTTAGTTCTGTGACTTGCAACCTACGTTCTGCGTTTTACATAGATCAAGCTTTACATGATTATTGAAAGTTTACTTTGTTCTATTATATTTTTAGATATAGAGGAATAGTTCTATCTCAGTGAAAATAACTTTCTTGCAAAATAAACATTTGTATATAACGATACAGCCATTAACAAAATACATAAAAAAGAAATAACATATAAAAACGTACGATCCAATCCAAGCTCGTCTGAGATGTGTTTCCAGACTTTTTGTTTGAAGTCATGCAGCTTCACTGGCACACCCTTCACCTCGGTACAATAGAGCACTGGATGTTGTTTGATCGCCTCTATGATGTTCAATGATATCTGATAGGTATCCGGTGGTACAGTCATCATAGTTATAGATTATGCGTTAACCTGCAAAAAGAGACATTTTACTATAATACTCTAATGTCTCGTAACGGCTTTCGTATTCCCGCCCGAGCTACAATCTCACGCTCCGATAACAACACGATGAAGTTATAGCGATATTGTGCGTGAAAATTCGTCGAAATGTTTCGCCGCGCGCGACGTTTCGATGTGCGTGCGTCATTATGCAATTCTGATTGCGCACGTGAATCATATCAGTATGAACGAGATATGAAAATCATACAACGGATCGTTACGAATAATGGTACCTTACAAATCAGCGAAAGTCGCTCAGCAATAAGGATCTACCAACGGTCGCCGGTTGATTGGATCAGACTTCCGAGATCAGAGACTGGTCGCCAGAGCGACGCCGCGACAGAGTTCATTCGGCGACGCGCACTTCCGTCGCGAAATCTATATTTCCGGCAATCTCCCCACTTCTCCGAGGATCGATTGTAAATGGCTGCGTTCAGCAGAGTAAACCACTGAAATATAAAGTTAGAATCAGACTACGCATTGAAGATTGAGATTGAAAATTGATCAATTAAAATTATAGCTAAAATTCCTTTGTCTTCATTAGTCAAATTTCAATCTTCACTCTTCAATGCGTAGTCTGATTTCGGTTTGAGTTGTTGAAATATCCAAAAATGTTTGCACTTAAAACGGGATAAATATATATTCAGGTTGAAAAGAGAGAGAGAGAACGAAGATGCTAAATGCAAAAAGTGCACTTTTCTAATCTATGCTTATATAACTGCGCATGCGCAATATCATCTACTGCACATGCGCAATCATAGCAAAGTATAAGTTAGAAAAAGATAAAGATATCATTTAGAATGCTTTCTCTCGAATCACTCTAAAGCCTCAGACACAATGTGAAGGAATAGCAATAGCGACAGAAATAACATGATTCTAATCTATCAGAAACTGTCTTCAGTGTATCTGATTTTTGATAGGTTAAAATTGTGTTATTTTTACCGCTATCGCTATTTCTTTGCATTGTGTCTGTGGCTTAAAGCCTGGTCTATAAATTTGTTCGCGTCGCATGCTCCTACTTCCTCCAACCGTAACTCCTATTCACTCAAATGCGCTCATTAGGCCGGAATCAGACTACGCATTGAAGAATAAGATTGAAGATTGAAACTTTGACCAATCAGAACAAAAGAAGCCAAAACTTCTTTATCCTCATTGATGAAATTTCAATTTTTAATTTTTCAATTTCAATCTTCAATGCATAGTCTGATTCCGGCCTTAAAGTGATTAGAAGCTATGGTAGGAACATGTGGAAGTATGTTGGAGTATGAGACGTGAATAAACCTTCCAATAAAGCCAGTCTTACATTAGTTGTAAGCCGATTGCAAGTTTGTTGCGACAGCAATATGAAGCGTTGATTCCAAAATGCGAGTTTCAGATTGACTGTCGCAACAAACTTGCGATTCTCTTGCAACTAATGTAGAATCGGTTCAAGTTGCAAACATTTCATCGCCAATTGCAATACTGTTGAATCTGTTGAACGCAACCTTTGCAATCACTGAACTATACATTCTATGCTTTATTGGAATGGGCATCTCCACTGTAAAGCATAGAAAGTCGTGGCATCAATTGATCAGCGCCATTTTAATTTGGTCAATTGGCTGCAAGACTGAAAAGATCTAGGATCTTTTTGTCTTATAGCCAATCGACAGATTTAAAAGAATTGTACTACAAAAAACGGACGCATGTAATATTGGCCTTAAGGTATTACATGCAAGCGTCGAGCATCTGCGCAGAAGATTATTGCATAGAGAAGTTTGAACCTCCTGCAGAATAATCTTCAGCACTATTCCATATAACTTTTTGATATAAAATGATATTGTATAATATAATGAATAAATATGAGAGGTTATGTCTGATATAGACTCTGCGCACAATGGAGAAAATATTAGGAATAGGAATAAATATTAAAATTTTAACCTATCCAGAAATCGTACATTCTGATGTATCCACTTTCTGATAGGTTAAAATTGTTTATCCTTTATTTCTAATTTCTTATTCTTGCTATTGTGCACAGGGCCTAATCCTCAAGATCCAGGATCGACTGGAGTGACAAGCCAATTCCTTTATTGTGAAGCTACGTATCTATTCTCTATCAGACTCTACCATATATACATATATTGTCTCTCAGGACGGTATTTATAATCAATCTTATTTCAAGATTGACTTAATTAATATCTTAAGACGCTAATACAGCTCTCTGATTGGTTCGTGACTTTTTAAGACTGTACTTAAGACGGTCTTGAATATAAAATCTATATATGAATATCGACCTTAGAAGAAATATTTTATTATGAAACTCGTTTTGACTTATATTTTATGAAACTACGAAACCTATTAAAAAATCAAATCTTGCAATTTCATTCTTAAAAACATTTTAATAAATAAAATGATATGTTCCTTATTTACGCAGATGTTTTTACAGACATGCTTTTATGCTAATATTTTATCTCTAAAACTGTGGTCAAAGTCTCGCTATAAATGCTTTGAAGCATTTGATGGACTCAATCAGAAGAAAGAATTTTACAAGTTGATTAATCAAAAAACGCTTTAAAGCATTTGTAGTATCACATTGAGCATACCTTAAGAAGTAATATTATGCCATAAAACCTTTTTGATTTCTTTTTTTATGAAGTTGTGAAAGCGCGTACAGAGTCAGTTGTGCAAAATGATTCTTCAAGAATTATAATAAATAAATTTGTGTATACTCAACTGCACTATAGTACACATCAGAATAAATGTTTATTTTGTCTTTTTCCCCATAAAAATCGCTCTGTACGAGCCTTCAGGAGCCTTTTCTGACGAATATCGCAATTAAAACGCGATTCATCCAGTATTTAGCCGTAATTTTAGCATAAATAAATTCGTCTTCGACTAGAGGTCTCCATAGTCTCTCCTTTTAATTTCGATTATTGTTGTGAGATGTCGGTTGTGAGTTGCTCTACTCAGAGCGCTCGAAACGATAGTGAGATCCTTATCTCATGTCTTAATTAGTTCGTAATTTTTTTATGTACGTTTCTAATTTATTACGAAAGTACGTAATTTATTACGAAAGTACGAGAGTACTTTTGGAAAGAACTGCCATTTTTTTAATGTGAGCGATGGCAAATATTCCCTCAGAACTTGTATCGCATCAGCAAAAAGTATGCAGGCTGTACAAACGCGCTGTGCGTTGTATTGAGGATTGGTTTCATAAAACACATGATCGCAGGTACGTACATTACCGAGGATGACATGATGATAACTTCTGACTTGTTCTTTTTAGTTAAATTGGGTGCTTTCCATTTGATGACACAAGTTGACACAAGCGTCGTTCTATCCTTGTTGACATTCAAAGAGTGACAAAGATAGAACAACACTTGTGTCATTAAATGGAAAGCACTCATTGTTACTACATATTTGTACACTTAAAATAAGATAGCCATGTATTTGTGTCTCGGAGTGAAAAGAAACGAACAATCATTGTAAGCTCATTGTAATAAAAAAAACAAATTAATTTAACCTTTTAATTTAACTGATGGAATTGCTTAAAGCAAAATAAATGACTAATATAATTATTTATTTCTCAAATGTTGTATGTGATATCACGGACTATTATGATATTTCAAATATCATATTGTTTAACTATTAATTAAATATTTATGTTAATGACTAAATACTACAGGTATTACTTAATGCCTGTTTCCTTCAATGTAGGTCCTTTTATGTTGGTTTCTATCTGTAATTTAATTTTAATCTTGCTTCAACTAATTCTTCAATTTTTTTTTCTTGTTCTAAGAATTAAAAAAAGATGAACATTAAGATGAAAATTAAACAGAGATTGAAATTAATCTATATTAGTACAAAGGAATTGTCTGAATTTCTTGCTTTTATTTCCATTTTTCTTCATGATGGAGAAAAAAAGGAGGAAAGATAAACTATGCAAGAAGTTTAAAAAAAAGAAACGGCCTGTTAACTTTGATTTCAATTCAACTTACTTTATTTTTTTCTAATTTTTACAAGAATCAGAAAAAGATGAAGAGTAAGTTGAACCAAAATTAGTTAATCTACATTAGTGGAATAGGTATAAAACAATTAATATTCATCTTAGATGTTCATCTAGACTGTTATGGCCAAGATTCCTATTCCTTACTTGACGAATTAATGTCTAAAAATCAATGTAGATTTAACTTTAATTTCAGTTTTATTTACTGTTGAAATAGCATCCATTGGCACCTTATATTGGTGAATCCAAGAGCTAATTAAAATTTGATCAAATCATATTGACAGCTTTGAATCGATGCAGTAATTAATGTATTGATTCAAATGGAACAACTAAGATACTAATTAGACTCTTTAGGAAAAAGAAACAAAGATAACATGAAAAAGCACGAAAATAAAATACCTCAATTTATTTACAAAGGATGATCGTAGTTTATAAAAAATAATTCAGTGGTTTAAATCCATCGTTTAATAAATAAAGCTAATAACAATTAATTAAGGCAAACTTTCAGAAAGAGAGAGAGAGAGAGAGAGAGAGAGAGAGAGAGAGAGAGAGAGAGAGAAGGAGGGTGACCGGACTTGTACTTATATTCAGACATTTACAAAAATTATTTATTTATATTACTATTAATCTCAAATGCTTTTTTAAATGTAATATTATAATTTAATAATAATCTTTAAATACAATTGAATTATAATATTGAAATAAGAAACATTTGAGATTAATAATATTAAAATTTGTGTAAGTGCGTGTATAGATATGTGTTTGGTTACTGGGACGTTTACTTATCATAATTATATTTCAATTATAATTTCTTTACAGATACCAGATTGCGTTATTGAGAGAGCGTTTTGACAAGAATAAGGATATAAAGGATTTGAAATATGCAAAATATCTATTGAAGGAAGGAGAGAAGGAGTACTTCTCCAAGATACATTATCAACCAATAACATTTGCCCAATCGATCACAGGAACAGCGTATGGTCGAGAATCTTATACTCCAGACTGGGCCTTGGATTATTGGCATCCTCTAGAGAAAGCTATGTATCCCAAATATTTTGCGTGTCGTGAACAAATGAAGGACGAATACATGAAGTGGTACTTTGAAACCTATCCTGAAGAAAAAAAGAAGATCGATGACCACTAAGCTCTTGTAAAATATATACACCTGCCATGGTATCATATTAATGTAACAACTCTTGTAGATAATATAATATATATTATGTGAATCTAGAGAACATCATTTCCTATCACAAAATATTTTTAGCCAGATTAGAGATTGAGATTGAAATTTAACTAAGAAGAAAATCAATTTCTCTCTCAAGTGTAATGAATCTTGATTGATTAAATTCCAATCTAATCTCAATTTCTAGTCTGATTCTAGGCTGATTAAAAGAACCAGTTTTTCAAAATCTGCATATACGAGCAAGTGTTTTGTTTTAGAAAGCATTGAGTGGCTTGCTGCTCGGTGCGACTGACTGCGATTGATTCTAATCTGTAGATCCGAATTCAATCCCGGCTGCGCCTACATATGCGATTTTTCGCATTTAAGGAGCTGAAAATGACATCACTTAGTGATTAAGATACCTGTGATCATCAGCGCCATTTGGATCCGACGTTTCAATTGTAGGTTCCATATATCGTAAATATATACATCATTCTCCTACATTAGGAGTCTGACACATTAGGCTAACAACCTAATTCCGAAAAATCATTGTTTCGAAACCTCATCTAGAGAAGGTTTGGACTGTGCCATTGGATGAATGATATTTCGTTTCAATATATATCATGTTTATTTTTATTTAATTAGAATACATAGTAAGCAACCTAGCATATCTCTATTTATAATTTAATCCATTATATATCCAACAGATGTAATACTAACGCAGTACAAAGTAACATATGTAGCTCGAAATTTATCTAAAATCTTTTCTAATATGCGGATAACACACAGTAAGAAATTCTTGCGCTTGGACGTTTGTAATTTCGAATGCTATCTCCGTTGTAACAATAACAGGTGAAGCATATTGTCAATTTATTTACGAAAGAGACGAGATGCCATTCATGAAATTAAGGACCCGCGATATTTTTATCAAATTGAATACATTACTTTAGCAGCAAATTTCTTTTCGCTACTGAAGTATATGAATTCAGTTATGTTAAACGTAAATGTGAATTGTTTTAAACAAATATGTACAATTCGGTTATTTACGATTGAAGATTACACAATACATATGTTGCTGTAAAAGCGATAATTTAGTGTACTAAATTTAAGATTGTCCAATGGGTTTATTTTGTCCCGCATTACTCATGAACATTCATTTAGCGCGATGCAATTGACATCTTTGCGTAAAATTAAATTTCCATTCTTATTTATCTTTAAAGTACTGCGAATCAAAATACTTCCGAACAAGATCTAATGTTCGGAAAATTCAGAATTTAGGAAATTTTTACATCTAATTTGTAAATAAGAATTGGTATACATCCTGAAATATTACATGAATGTCGCAGAAATTTTTTGTCAATTTCATCATCTTCGAAAACAATATTATCAATTACTTACTGATAAAAGTTATGAAATTGTAATAGGTATATATATATATATTATGAACAAATGTTTTTACCTATGTTACAATTCTTCAACATTGATAGATTCGATTTCGGAAGCGACGTTCGGAAATGGAACGAAGTAAAAAAAGAAGTGTAGGATCACATTATATATATCGTGCTCTTACAGGATTCGTGCGCGATAAGTCATTTATATGATATTTTTAATGAAATTTTAGAGTTTATTATTCGCAGTAAATTAATTAGATAAAATTAAATATTCCATTCATCATGAATATAATTTTTGCTCAGTGTACATCGACATATTCAACTTGTTTTCAACAATTTTCTTAGTGATCACATCAGAATATCTTCAATGAAGCAAGATACATAAAAAAATATAATGAATTGATCACTTAAAGTATAACAAAAGTACAATATAATTATTAGGTGTACAAAAAAGTTCTGAGCTTTAGATTTGATACAACCGAAATAACAATTTAAATTTTATATATCTTCCCGCCCTTTTGCGGTTTTAACATTTGGCCTTCTAAAATGCCATACGGTTTGGCGTTTGATGCACATAACCTCAAAAATCAGTAGTGTTCACGATGGCAATAACAAAAGAGCATATTCGATTTTCCATCCAC